TGTAGTTCACCTACATCCAGAAAGCACTGTGGACTCAAACGATGATGGATCTGGACCAAACTTGGCACAAATATTCAATATGCCCAAATGGGAACACTGGTAGAGTTTGGGGAAAATAGGCCTTGATATTTGGGAGTTGTAGTTGCTGGGATTTATAGTTCACCTCCAATCAAAGAGCATTCTGAACTCCACCAACAATGGAATTGAACCAAACTTGGTACACAGAGCTCCCATGACCAATTGAAAATACTGGAAGGGTTTGATGGGCATTGACCTTGAGTTTTGGAGTTGTAGTTCACCTACTTCCAGAGAGCACTGTGGACTTAAACAATGATGGATCTGGACCAAAGTTGGCACGAATACTCAATATGCCCAAATGTGAACACTAGTGGAGTTTGGGGGAAAACAGACCTTGACATTGGGAGTTGTAGTTGCTGGGATTTATAGTTCACATACAATCAAAGCGCATTCTGAAGCCCACCAGTGATAGAATTGGGCCAAACTTCCCACACAGAACCCCCATGACCAACAGAAAATATTGTGTTTTTTGTTGGTCTTTGGCAACCCCTCCAACACACCCTCACGACCCTCCCAGGGGTCCCGACCCCCAGGTTGAGAACCACTGATATAGAAGAATCATAAAGATAGAGATGAATAAGAAATAAGAGATGGGGGGGAGAAGGAGGAGGGAGGAGAGAAGGAAGAGGAAGTGGAAGAGGGGGAGAGAAAGAGGAAGAGAGGAGGAGGAGGAGGAAGGAGAAGAAGAAAAAGAAGGAGAAGAGAGGAGGAGAAGGAAGATGGAAGGAGAAGAGAGAAGAAGGGGAAGAAGGAGGAGAGAGGAGGAGGAGAAGAGGAGGAAAACGAAAAAGAAGAGGAGAAAAGAAAGAGGAGGAAGGAAAAAGAGAAAGAGAGGAGGAGGAGAGAAAGAGGAAGAAGAAGAAGAAGAGGAAGAAGAAGAGGAAATAAGAAGAAAAGAGGAGGAGAAGAGGAGAGGAAGGAAAGAGGAGGAGGAAGAAAAGAAAAGGGGAAAAAGGAGGAGGAGAAATAAGAGGAAGGAAGAGAAGAAGAGAGGAGGAGAAGGGAGATAAAGGAGGAGATGGTGGTGTGGTGGTGCTAATAATAATGGAAAGTACAGGAGGAGGAAGGGAGAAGGAGAAAGAGGAAGAGGAGAAGAAAAGAAGAGGAGGAGGGGAAAGAAGAAGAGGAGGAGAGAAAGAGGAAGGGGAGGAGGAGGAAGATGAGGAGAAGGAAGATGAGGAGATGGAAGAAAGAAGGAAGGAAGAAGAGGGGATAATGAAAAATAAGAAGAAGAAGAAGTGGAAGAGGAAGGAGAAGAGGAGGAAGAAGAAGAGGAGAAAAAAGTCAGAGGAGGAGGAAGAAGAGAAAGAAGAGAAAGAAGAAGAGGAGGGGGAGAGACAAAGGAGGAAGAAGAAAAGAAGAAGAGGAAGAAGAATAGAGGAGGAAGATAACTGACCATGCACAACACTTCATCCCCATCTACATCTATATAATGCAGTGTAGTGTAACAACACAAATTATGGAACTGCTGAAATAATCTTAGCAATTTATTATTCAAAATAATGAAAACTAATACATTATAATTAGAGGGTGAGATAAGCGATAGAGATTGGTTTCATAAAATAATTATGCCTCTCAGTTTGAAATATATTAAAGAAGAACAATACACTGCGGCTTAGCAGAGGAGAGAAAAAGAGAGGAAGAGGAGCAGGAAAGAGAAAGGAGAGGAAGAGAGATGGAAGGAAAGAGAAAAAGGAAAGAAGGAGGGGAGGAGAGACAGGAAGGAGAAAAGACAAAGGAGGAGGAAGAAAAGAAGAGGAAGAAGAGGAGGAGGAAGAAAAAGCGGGATGATGGTGGTGGTGGTGGTGATAATAATGGCAAGTACAGGAGGAAGAAAGAAGAGGGGATAATGAAAAATAAGAAGAGGAAGAAGAGAAAGATAAAAAAGGAAGAGGAGGAAGGAGAAGAGAAGAAGAGGAGAAAGAAGAAGAAAAAGAAGAGAAGGAGGAGAAAAAGGAACAAGGAGTCATATTTGTTATCTTCTAATTTTTTAAAATTTGTATTTCTTATAGTGAATGATCCGATGTGTCCCCGAAGACTTACCTCTTAAACCGGCATCTTTACCAAAAGAGCTTCCAAGTTGGCTGCAGATTGTGGTGGCTTGGCAATGGCATGGTGTCTACAATACTCTTCTGATCAGTGGAGGCAATGAAGAAGGGAGAAGCAGTTACTCCAAGCCCTCTCTCTCCAAGCTGCCTGTAAACATACTCAGATCCTTCCCTAGCAGCCCAGTCTGCAGCACTTTGGAGACCCTTTGGTTGGAGCCCCTCCTCCCTTAAGAGGAGGCCCCCAAGATTTCACTTCACCTCCATCTCAGCCACCTCCATCGGTGCCTTTTGGTCACTTTTCAATTTGTGGCAATTCCTTGAAATTCATAGGGTTTTCTCTAGGCAAGGGAGACTCAAAAATTGTGGTTTTGCAAGGTCCTTCCTCTCAAAGACAGCCTATTGCACCTGTTATTCCTTGGCTATCTCCAACTTAAGTACTAACTTCCAAGATCAGATAGGATCTGATGTCTTTGAAGTATTTAAAAGAGAGTTTTTCAGCACCGGTTGATTTCTCATCTATGAAGAGTGACTTAGAGATCTGGGTATATTTAGCCTGGAGAAGAGAAGGCTAAGAAGGTCAAACGATAGCCATGATTCTTGTTGGTTATCTCTGTTTAATTCTTACATGGTTTGGATCCAGGGTTACGCTTCTGTAAAATCTACACTGATGTCCTCTGGATTTTATATTTATTTCATAGCATCCTAGAGCCAGAAGAGACCCTGAGGGGCCATCCAATCCATCCCCTTGCCATGCAAAATCATCCCAACAGATGGTCATCCAACCTCTCCTAAACATTAGGAAGAATGTCTCATATTAGGAGCTGTTTGACTGTGGAATATGCTGCTGCCTGGAAGTTCAGTGGAGTCTCCTTTTCTGGAGGTTTTTAAGCAGGGTCTGGATGGCCATCTGTTGGGAAGTGTGCTGGTACGGCTGTACCAGGAGCTCCAACTTCATTTTCTTTCTATTAAATGTCTGCATGCATTCCAAGGTTTCAGGCATTCTGCAAAGGTGACTTCCCTTGGTTTGCAATTATAGGGCCAAGGACCCATCAATCATTGTTAAGTTTTGGTCCCTGGGAGGAGAGGGAGCCATTTTTACTTCAGTCTTACAGAAGGAAATTAAGCTACAGGACGTGCACCAGCTCCACCTGCAGAAAAGCTTCATTTCCTACAGCTTCGGGGAAAACAGCTTCTGGGGAGAAATAGTCCCAAAGCTCTGGCTGGGAACTTACAGCCTCTCAGCCTTATAGCATTCAGGGGAAACTGTTTTATAGACCCAAAGAACTCCAGCTGGAGAACCTACAAAGCCTTGACTGGTAGGTCTACTCGGGACCCAAGACGTAGTTTGGAACCGGTAGTAGGACCCACATCAGCAAAGCCTAGATAGTAGAATGCCTGGGAGAGGTTAAAAAAGGGTTTTCCTTTCAAAAGCAAAGAAACAGTTCTCAAAGTCAGTTGCCTGTCCCTTGTGGACAAAATTAAGAAAGCTACCAGTCATTTGTATGATTGTCGTTGAAGATTGAAGAAGTATTTGTTCAATAATAAAGGACTTTGTTAAATCTTTCAAGCCTCTAAAGACTCTTCCAGAGGAAAATCCTTAGGGCCTCTCTATCAAGGCACCCTGGCTTCCTGCTGGGCACAAAGTGCATGTCCTGTTCAAAAGACAGCTATTATAGGCCCAGCGCATGACAGCACAGGAGGACTTGGATTGTGTCTTCCTGCTTGGCAGAAAAGAAGGGGGTTGGTCTGAATGAATCTTGGATATATCATCTGACTCTATGAATTTTGTGAAGTTGCAAGATGGAAACATTCAAGGTGGAATGGATGATAGTAGAATTTCCTTCTCTGAAGGTTTCAAAGCATGGGCTGGATAGCTGTCTGTCAGGAGAGCTTTGATTGTATTGTCAAAGGCTTTCAAGGCTGGAATCACTGGGGTGTTGTGTGGTTTCCAATGTGTTCTAGCAGCATTTCCTCCTGACATTTTGCCTGCACCTGTGGCTGGCATCCGATGGTCAAGCAAGAGGAGTTAATGATTATCGATTGAAGTATGTTTCATTATAATGTTTTATTTTATTGTTGCTGATGTTTTTATATTGTATATTGTAATTGTGTCCTTGGTGACATTGAATTATTGCCTTGTAAACCACCTCAAGTCGCCGGAAGGCTGAGAGGGGCGGTATAGAAATGTACTAAATAAAATAAATAAATAAATAAATAAATAAATAAATATAGATACCTTTGGATTGTCAAGGGTGGAAGAAAAAAAAACCATTGGATTGCTTTAGGAACACAGATTTGCAAGGGACCTCTGAAGTAATTTGTGAGGTCTCATAACCTCTGAGGATTCCTGCCATAAATGCAGTTGAAATGTCAGGAGAGAATGCTTCTAGAACATGGCCAGACAGCCCGAAAAACCTACAACAACCCAGTAATTCCGGTCATGAAAGCCTTCAACAATACAGCAAAAGAACCATTGTCTGCTAACCAAGTTTAAATGGTTCAATTAGCAAACTAGATAGCAAGCAGGTGAAACGTCAGAAGAAAATGCTGCTAGAGCACAGCCATACAGCCCAGAAACCACACAACACTCCAGCTATGATTGTGTGGAAGCTTGGACTGGGTGGACTTTGGAGGTCCTTTCCAAATCTCCTTTCCGATGAGATGGAAGCTTCATGTCTTCCATCCAGGGAACCAACCGCATTGGAGATGCTTGAGTGAGCCAATTTCCCATTTTCCTCATTCTCAGCCCTGCAAGCCTTGCCTGAGGCCTGCCAATTGTGATGATGGGGGCAACATGGCACAGAGTGTGTGTGTCTGTGTCTCTGACTCACCTTCCCTCCCATTCTCCCCCTTTTCCCTGTGGAAACCATTCATTGTTCCGGGGTCTCCAAGTGTGACCAAGCCCTTCCTTGGAGAAAGTGCCCCCAAAGGGGATGCCAGGCTCTTAGCTTCAGCCTCCAAGTCTTCTTCGGAGAGGGCTGCGCTCACCGGTCCTCCTCCTATCAATGCGTGGAAAAGGAGGAGAAGGAGGAGGTGTGGATGTGTGTGCATCCATATATATATAAGGGCCCACGCTGACAGCCACACAGTGCAAAAAAGCTCCGGCGTTGGAAGGATATCTTGGGACTCGAAGTGCACAGGCAGGTAAGCCTCGGCTTGGGACTGAATGCCCAATTGCGACTCCCATCCCCTTTGTCTATGCAAGACCCTCTTTAGCTAAACCACATCTTTGGCAATTATGGGGAGAGATCTCGTGGTGTTTGTCATCTATTACACAGCTTGTCTTTGTCGGCTTTTCCGGTGACCCTTTCCCTCTTCTCTCCTGACCTTTTGAGATGCACCGACTTGGCCGAACGCTTATCCGTTTTCATAGGTTGCGCTCAAGATGGTTTTGAATCAACTAGCCACTTATTATTGTTATCATTCCAAAGATAATGTCCTCTTTAAGGAGTTTATTTTGGGAAAATATTAGGGAAATTTAGAGAAGAGAAATCTCAGGAAAACTGAAGAGAGAAAGAAGGATTCCTCTCCTAGATTAAGTGGTACGATGCCGGTGCGTCACTTTTGTTTACCAAAATATAATAACTGCTTTGGAAATAATTTGCTTTTCTTTCTAGAAAAAGAATTACTTTTCCTATAATGTCCATCCTTTGCTTTTAATCCACCGAAATAGAATTGCTTTGCTAGTGCTTTGGTGTTTGGAAAGAATTGCAACAGACTTGAATTACCTTCTTTACAATTTCCAACCATTTGCTTCAATCCACCAAAATATAATCAATGTGCTAGTATTTTTCTGTTTGGAAAGAATTGCGACAGACTTGAATTACTTTTCTTACAATTTCCAACCATTTGCTTCTATCCACCAAATATAATCAATGTGCCAGTACTTTCATGTTTGGGAAGAATTGCAACAGACTTGAATTACTTTCCATACAATTTCCAACCATTTGCTTCAATCAACCAAAATATAATCAACGTGCTAGTGTGTTTCTGTTTGGAAAGAATTGCAACAGACTTGAATTACTTTCCTTACAATTTCCAACCATTTGCTTCAATCCACCAAAATATAATCAATGTGCCAGTGCTTTCATGTTTGGGAAGAATTGCAATAGACTCTCAGTTAACCAGAAATTGCAATAGACTCTCAGTTAACAACCAATGGGCAAAATCAATAAATCAATCAAATAAATAAAATCACAAAGCTTTCTTTATAACAAAACTGTGTTAAGTTTTGCTCCGTTTGCTCTTATTTACCGTGTTTCAATATGAATGTATTGTCGAAGGCTTTCATGGCCGGAATCACTGGGTTGTTGTAGGTTTTTTCGGGCTATATGGCCATGGTCTAGAGGCATTCTCCCCTGACGTTTCGCCTGCATCTATGGCAAGCATCCTCAGAGGTAGTGAGGTCTCTGAATGACAACAATACGAATGTTGTCAATATGGGGTTTGATGTATTGTTGAAGGCTTTCATGGCCGGAATCACTGGGTTGTTGTGAGTTTTCCGGGCTGTTCCAGAAGCATTTTCCCCTGACTTGATGAACCAACCTGGACACAGCATTTTATTTGAGAACACAGAAGTGCTGGACCACTCTCACAACCACCATGTCAGACTACACAGAGAAGCCATTGAAATCCACAAGCATGTGGACAATTTCAACAAAAAGGAAGAGACCATGGAAATGAACAAAATCTGGCTACCAGTATTAAAAAACTCTAAAATTATAACAGTAGATAAAGAACAACACTCAAAAAATGGGAATTCCAGACAAGAATAAATCAGGGCCAGCTAATCACCTCCCAACAAAGGATTCCTGCAAGCAGTAAGAAGCCAGACGTCAAACTTCCAGGCCATTAAATGCTAATCAAGTTGGCGAATTGCAACATTCACACCTACCTCAAACAGACAAGAGTTCTTTCTCCCACTCTGTATATTATTCCACAGATATATAAACCCCATTATCCGAGTTTCCAACAGTCCTCACAACCTCTGAGGATGCCTTCCATAAATGCAGGCGAAATGTCAGGAGAGAATGCTTCTGGAACATGGCCATACAGCCACAACAACCCAATATGGGGTTTATAGCGTAGTATAGTACGGAGTATTTAATACCAGTATTAAAAAACTCTAAAATTGCAACAGCACAACAACAGAGAGGAAACAAACAAGGACATTTAATCACCTCTCAACAAAAGTTTGCTCCAGGCACTGTCAGGCCATTGTATGCTAATCAAGGTGGTCAGTTGAAACATTCACACCTAGCTCCAGCAGACAAGAGTCCTTTGTCCCACCCTGGTCATTCCACAGATATATAAACCCTTTTTCCTAGTTCCAACAGACCTCACTACCTCTGAGGATGCTTGCCATAGATGCAGGCGAAACGTCAGGAGAGAATGCCTCTAGACCATGGCCGTATAGCCTGAAAAAACCTACAACAACCCAGTGATTCTGGGCATGAAAGCCTTTGACAATACAGGAGAATGTATTGTCAGAGGAAATAGGAAAGTGGGCTGTTGTAGGTTTTTTAATGCAATATGGCCATGTTCTAGAAGCATTCTCTCCTGACATTTTGCCTGTATCTATGGCAGGGATCCTCAGAGCCTGCATCTATGGCAAGCATCCTTACAACCTCTGAGGATGCTTGCCATAGATGCAGGCGAAACGTCAGGAGAGAATGCCTCTAGACATGGCCAAATAGCCCAAAAAACCTACAACAACCCAGTGATTCTAGGCATGAAAGCCTTCGACAATACAGGTAATGTGGGATTTTAGGAATACTAGAAAGTGGGCTGTTGTAGTTTTTTTGCTATATGGCCATGTTAGAAGCATTCTCTCCTGACGTTTGCCTGCATCTATGGCAGGTCTCAACCTCATGTCCATCCTTACAACCTCTGAGGATGCTTGCCATAGATGCAGGCGAAACGTCAGGAGAGAATGCCTCTAGACCGTGGCCATATAGCCCGAAAAAAACCTACAACAACCCATAGTACGGAGTGTCATACTAGCTTTGTTTTTGATAGTAACTCTCAAGAAACCAGAAACTCAATTTATCCGACATCCATCCATCAATCAATCTCCATGGGTGCCGGTTAACTAAGAGCTCAGTGAACTTCTTTCTCTTTCAAAAGAGGGGTTTTGATGGATCAAAAGCCTATTGATCCGTCTTTCTTGGCTTTCCGACGGTCCGTTTCCAGCTCATTGGTTAATAGAAAACTGGCTTTCTTTGGGTTCAAAATGTGAAGACAAATCCTCACATTCTCCTCCTTGCTTTTGTTTCCTCCTCTTGTAAATGGAAACAAAAGTATGGTATTTGCATCGAACAAAAAGGAACTTTTGGGTGGCATTTCCATGCTCCCCGAACCTTTGGGCAAACTCACATTTTCCCATTTGTAAGGGGGAAACAATACTCTGGAATTGGATGAGAAATATAGATATATTTCTCCCCCATCCTAATCATACACCTGCAGAAGCGCAAGCGACAGCGTGTGCATCCTATCGTAAAATTGACGATAATTGGCTAAATTATACGGTGCGGGGAAAAGCACCAGACAAAGGCTCCGGAGCTTTCGGAGCGATTCGAAAAGGCAGAGAAATGCCAGGGAAAAGGACCCCGATTTGGGTTTCTTTTGTCCTACAACGTGGCTGAAAATATCATCGTATTTATATGTTATTCGTCTTAATTTGAATAGAATAAGCTTGTTATGTTCCAAGGGTGTGTTTTTGGGTTGCCTTCCCAAAATAAGACTTTTAAGGAACTTCAAAGACTAAAGCAGAGATGCTATGATTATATTTTTCCATTCCCTTTCTCTTTTAGGATTGTTGTGTGTGTGTTTTTAAGGAAAGCATAATAGATTATGGATGAATGATTAAAGAATTTGCATTCCATGGAAATCAAAACGATCTCCCGCTAGAATCCAGGTAGATACCAATATGTTAGCATTCGGTGATATATGCATTCATTACCTGAATAATATACAGAGGAAATAAATCACTGCAGGGAATAAAAAGGGAAGAAAATAGTGCCCAAATAAATACCCCCAAAGTCACCAGATCCTTCTGTATGTCCCAACAAAGGATTCCCACCCAGGCAGCAATCAGCCAGACTTTGAAGCTGCAAAACTATTCAGTGCTTTGGTGGTATGCATTTATTACCTGAACAATATACAAGGGGGAAATTACTGCAGGGAATAAAAGGGAGGAAAATAGATACCCCAAAGTCCCCATAGCCTTTTGTATGTCCCAACAAAGGATTCCCCCCAGGCAGCAATCAGCCAGACTTTGAAGCTGCAAAACTATTCAGTGCTTTGGTGGTATGCATTTATTACCTGAATAATATACAGGGGGGAAATCACTGCAGGGAATAAAAGGGAGGAAAATAGATACCCCAAAGTCTCCATAGCCTTTTGTATGTCCCAACAAAGGATTTTCCCAGGTAGCAACCAGCCAGGCTTTGAAGCTGCAAGGCCATTAACACTTCGGTGGTATGCATTCCTTACCTGAACAATATACAGGAGAAAAATCAGTGCAGAGAATAAAAAGGAAGGGAAATTGTTCCAAATAAACACCCCAAAAGGTACCATATGCCCCAACAAAGGATCCCCCAGGCAGCAACCAGACTTTGAAGCTGCAAAACTATTCAATGCTTAGGTGGTATGCATTCATTACCTGAACAATATAAAGGGGGGGGGGGGAATCACTGCAGGGAATAAAAAGAGGGAAAATCGTGCACAAATATATAGACCAAAAGTCACCATATCCAACAAAGGATTCCCCCAGGCAGCAACCAGCCAGGCTTTAAAGCTGTAAGGCCATTAAATGCTTCGGTGCTATGCATTCATTACCTGAACAATATAAAGGGGGGAGGGGAATCACTGCAGGGAATAAAAAGGGGGGGAAATCGTACTAAATAAATACTCCCAAAGTTGCCATATCCTTTTGTATGTCCCAACAAAGGATTCCCCCCAGGCAGCAACCAGCCAGGCTTTGAAGTTACCAGGCTATTACATGTTATGGTGGTATGCATTCATACCTGAACAATATACAGGGGAAAAAATCACTGCAAGGAATAAAAAGGGAGGGAAATTGTGCCCAAAAAAATACCCCAAAAGGCACCATATCCTTTTGTACATCCCAACAAAGGATTCCC